TGACTTCCTCACCTTAACCTCCAAACTTTTCATTGTCAGATGGTCATTAGGAGACAACCCGATTTATGTGAAGAATTACAGTGACAATTCCATGTAGGATCTGTGTTTGTGCAAAGTGTGTGCTCTATGAGAGAAAGAAGGTATAAAATTGATTGATGTCTTAAAGTAGCTAAGGGGTATTTGCTGGCAGCCAGGGCTACTGTTTCTCAGTAGAAAAACTGGTAGAGAAAACTGAGTTCTTATAATAAATTCCATAACAGCAGCTTAGTTGTAAATGATTTTTTAAAAGTCGCTTGACTGTGCAAACTGGTTAGAGCAGAAATATTTTAATGTTATTTCAAGAGTTTAATGTCAACCATCAGTGCCCAATAAATGAAAATTACTTTTAGTGATACATCTGGAAATACAATGTTTTTTTAGAGTCAAAATCTCTCAAGCTTTGCATTAAATCTATGTTTTTATTTTTACTATGTGACTATTATATAAATTTCTGATATCTGTTATAGAGGAAAAGATAAATTAGATAGACACTACTTGGGATATTGAAAAATTACTAAAATTGGGAGACAAGTTCAATTTATTGTTTGCTCATTGAGAGAAAGAAAGTGAATAATTGATTTAAAGGAAACAATTTTACTTAAAGAAAGGGCAATATTTCAATAATTAGAAAGGGGAAAGGGAGTATATTTTGAAATAGGAGCAGTGTCACTTGAATGAAAAATGTAATGTGCCAAAGTAGCTACTTTGAAGGGGAAAACACTTATCTGAATGGAAAATTTTTGTTACATTCCTGTAAAATCCCAACTTGATCTTCATTCTTATCGGCTTACTCATTTAACTATTATTTATTGAGTACCCACTCTATGTGTTGGCATTATGCAAGGCATTGGTGATATTTCAATGCATAAGACACAGTTTTTTGCTTCACAAAGACATACAGTGGAATTTTCATTAATTGATTAATTCATGCACTCATATTAGGTAAAATGAGGTTTAACTCTGTGCAACAGGAAACTTGAAATAACAGTGGTTTAAACAGCTGCCTCATATAAATAAAGATCATCCAGACCTCAGCTTGTGTCTCCATCATCATGAAAAACCTCAAGTTCATTTACATTGTTGTTCTGCCATTCCTAACCAGAAATGCATTTAGCTTTTGGAGTCTGTTTTCTTTCACTTAGGATAATGCATTGAGATATATAATGTTGTATCAACAGTCTGTTCCTTTTGTTATTAAGTAGTATTCCATTCTATGGATGTACTACAGTTTATTCTCCATTTGAGGTACTCTTGGGTTGTTCAAGATTTTAGCAATAAAACTGTGATCAATATTTGTTAACAGGTTTTTGCATGAACGTAGGTTGTCTGGTTTGCTTGGGTAAATAGGTAGGAGTGGAAATATTGGGTTATATGGTTTTGTGTATATCACACTTTATAAAATCAGTGAAACTATTTTTAGAGTGGCCATACCATTTTGCATTCCTTCCTGCAATGTGTAAGAGTTCCAGTTGCTCTGCCTCCTCATTACCTTCTGGTATTATCAGGTGGTTTTTTTTTTTTTTCACCTTTCTAGTAAGTGTATATAGCATCTCATTATGGTTTTAATTAGCATTTGATTAATGACTAGTAATATTGAGCATCTTTTTATATGCTATTTGTCATGTCTATTTTCTTTGGCAAGAATCTATTCAAATCTTTTGCCCACTTAAAGAATTTAGTTGTTTCCTTTTCTTTTTGATGAGTTTTGGGAGTTCTTTATATATATTGGCTACAAGTCCTGTGTCAGATATATGATTTACAAATATTTTTTCCCAGTCTGTGTTTGTCTTTTCATTCTCCCAACTGTGTATGTAGTTTGTAGAGCCAACATTTTTAATTTTAATAAAGTCCGATTTATTTATTCTTTTATGGATTGTGCTTTGTATCTTTTAGTGTGGTATCTTAAAGTTGGATTTTTATATGTTAAAAGGCAAATTTATAGAAAACAGAAGAATAAATTATTTCTAGCAACAATAGATTATCTATAATTAGAACATGAGGTATATCTCCTAAATGTGACATCAAATGAGAAGAAATTAGATAATTTATGGTGGGAAAACCAAATTAGAGTTCTGAAAGCTAGGATCTAATGATATTAATTTTGAAAACACAGAACTAGATTTAGATTGTATACAATAGTAGCACATAAAAACATGAAATAAAATGCTTCATGGAAGTGGCAAATACCTGTCCATTTATTCACCCATTTATCTATTTAAAAAAGTTCAAAGTTATTACTATGAACCAGGCCCTGTGTTCTAGATGGGGATACACAGACAAGTATGATGGGAGACATCTTTGGGAAATAAATCGACAGATAATAATACAATGTGATAAGAACTGTGGTTGTCATACATTCAATGTAAACCAGGCTTCTTTTTGCACAAGTATTTCATCACACATATCTCAGTGTGCAATCATTTATTTGTGTGGCTTGATTTAATGTTTGTCTCTTTCACAGGGTGCTCTAGGAGTATAAATGTGATGCTTTCTTCATTGTGGCTGGCATATAATAGGAGCTAGACTGACAGTTGTTGGATAAGTAAAGTGCTTGCTATTGGAGTACAAAGAGAAATTGCTAATTCTCCCCCTGTCAGTTTTGAAGACTTCAAAACAGGTGACATTTGAAGTGAGTCTCTAAGCAGAGGTAGGAACTTGTTGTTAGGGGCAGGCCTGGAGCTGGGAAGGTAGAGTAGGGCAGAATGCCAGCACTGTACAGTCGTGGCCACCGGCACACGAAATCACATAATACATGTGGGAGAGACAAAATGTTCCAGTGAGGCAGGGGCATCCTGCACAGTGAAGTGTGGGGGGCAGGAGATGAGGCTAACATGGAAGGCTGGGGTTGGGCTGGGAAGGAAAGGCCTTGCCAACCAGGCTAGGTTTGAACTTCACTGCAGTGAAGTTGGGGACACTGAATGATCTTTAATCTTTCAAGTGAAATGATCCCCTTTGTCATTCTTAAAGAGAGATGGCAGCATGGTGGCTGACTGCATAGCAGTGCAGTTAAGGCTTTTGCTAAAATCTGGGTAATAGATGGGATGCGTGTGGCAGTGGCAGTAGAGATGCCGGGAACAGAGGGGGAACAGATCTGGAAGTTACTCTAGGAGACAGAATTTATGGGACTTAGCGATTGATAAGATGCAAAGGGTAGAGGGAGGATTTAATATTTTAGCTCTTCTGATGCCTGAAGAGTAGTGTATGTTGGGAGTTAACAAATTAATTTTTATTCCCCTGAATATGGGCATTTCTTATTCTTTAGATAGTACATTAAAGTATAAAGAAAACAAAAAATCATCTATTAGCACACAGAGATAACCACTGCTGACACTTAGAGTACACTATCATTCTTTTAAAATACACTTTTGAAAAGAGATCCTAAGGACTTCACCAGGAGCTCAGAGTCTCATGAACTGCGTTAGTATATTGAAGTGCACTTTGAACCCAAATATTAACTTTTGACTAAACCATGAGCTGAGCCAATTTCTCAAAAAATTTCTTAAAAAAAGAAACTGGATTAAGGAATCTCTTCCCTGGAAACTAAATAAGTGGCAGCGATGACATCCAGGACATGTCCTCAGTAGTACCAGATTCTAACTCGCATAGGTAACCTGCTCAGCCACGGAGAGACATTTCCAGGTTCAATTTGTTAATTCGTATTAAACTCATTCATCGCGCTGAACCCTGCAGGAAGGCAGCCCTGCAGAGACCACTTTGCATGTCCAGAGGCTCTAACGGAGTCCTGATTGCTTTGCTCGCTTGAACCTTTGGTTTGTATAGACCTGTGCACATAAACTCCCTAAGGGAAAGGTCCAGGAGCTGTTAATAAAAAATACTTATCTGAGGCTTTTCAAACAGGGGGAATGGGAGGGAAATCTAAAAAAAAAAAGAGTATATAAGGATACTTTAATGTTGAGAGTAGATGACGGGGAGGGGCAGAGGCAGGAAGATTCAGAGGGGCTTGCCCAAAAAGCTCGAATAATAGAAAGTCCAAGGATGAGAGAAAGGGGGCCTCAAAAAAAAAAAAAAAAGCCACTGGGGCAGGCAGTCCTGCTGACCAGATTCCGTGCTGGGGTGAGGTGGCTGGTGGTGGGGTCCTTGGTCCAGGCCTTCCCTGGCCATCCCCGCTCCCCACCAGCCTCCGGAGGTGCTCAGAGGGGAGGGGTGCAGGCCGTGCTCCGCCTCTGTGGGACCTTTGGATTGAAAAGCCAAGGAACGTCAAACTTGATTTACAACGAGGAAGGGAAAAAGCACTCTCTCTTGACAGGTTGGGGTTGGGGACGGGAATGCCAGTGGGTGGGAGCATTCTGCCCACCAGAACCCGCAAACGGACTCCCACTTCCTCACGAAGACCTGCCTCCCGGGCTCTCGCTCCCGCTCCATGTTCCGCCCCAAAAGTCCGGGTCTTCCAGTGCAAACCACTGTCAGGTGCTGTGGGTCTGCCCTGCGTTCGGAGTTCCACTTGCTCCAGTTTTTGGGGAGGCAGGTTTCGGCGGCCCTGGGGCTGGCGGGGAGTGAGATTAGACTGGGGCCATTCCACGCTGCAGGCTTTCCGTCCCGCAGCTGCTAGCCCGGGTGAGGCGGGCGACGCAGGGGGCAGCCTACAGGAAGGAGTAGACGCGGCCTGCGCAAATACTCAACTGCTTCAAGGGCGGGCCTCTGACTCTCCCCGTTCCGTCCGCCGGACTCGGCTGACTCCCCGGCCGGAGCCGGCGGCCGGCTCGGGCAGGCGGGAGTTTGCAGACTTGGCGCTCCGGCCCACTCTCCGGGAGTTGGGTGTGGCGCGCCGGCCTATGGGCGCGTCCCGCCGAGGGCTCGGCTCCCCCCGCGAGCGCTGATTGGTCCCGGCGCCCGCGAGGCCGGGCCGGCGGACCGAGCCTGCGGGCGGTGACGAGCGCCCGGCGCGAGGGGGAGTGGCGCGCACCCTCCGCCTTCGCCCGCCCTCCCGCCTCCCCGCTCCCTCCCCTCACTGCCCGGCTCCGGCCGCGCGCTGGCGGGGCTCCGCATTGCACACTCTGGGGGCGCCGCAGTGTTCGTGGGATGGGGCAGCGGGCTGCCGCTGGCGGCCGGAATCCGCGCGCAGCCCGGGTGAGTAGAGGCGGGCTTCCCGGGAGAGCACGAAAGCAGACTAGGTGGTGCCAGCGGCCCGAACTAGTGCTGGGGCCTGGGCCAACCTAGGAGTGGGCTTAGTGCCTGGAACTACCCAGTGCCAGGACGGCACCCCCAGAGCCCAGCGGAGCTAGCGTCCGCCTTTGCATCCCGCTCGGGGGTTTTGCCCCCGAGGGGCAGCCCGCCCTGCGCGCAGCCTGGGCAGGTCCAGAGGGGCGTGTGTTTGCATAAGTGTAGTGCTGGTGCGTAGGGGCTAGGATGGGAATGTCAGGGGCTGCCAAGTTCAACGCTGGAGGAATCTTTCCCAGGAGTAATTCAGCACCTTCCTAGGGCCAAGGAACTCCAGCCAGCCGAGTGGCTGCGCCCCACATGTTGCTGCGGGCATGAGGTGGGGGGTGGGGTGGGAGGCGGCGGGGGCCCGAAAGCGCTCACCGAGAGCCGCTGCCCAAGGTGCGTAAACCCGGGCGCCTCCATCCATTTCGACAGCGTGCCAGGCCCTCCGACCACCCACCCGGGCTCCTAGGCGAGGGGGCCGTCCGCCCAGAGCCTGGGCTTTGCCTGGGCTTAACTTGGTGACCTGGTTTTCTCTCCGGTAACAGCAGTTCGGTTGACTTACGTTTGGCTAACCAGTCCATTTTAGCCTAAAGCTTTCTGTCCGTGTATCGGACTCATTCTCACCCACACCACAGTCTCACTTGCCCTCCTGCCCTTCCCATTCCCCTGCCCCCAGTATCGGCCCTACTCTTCTCTTCGCTGTTCAAAACTTGCTATTTGAGCATGATTTGATTGCCTGCGGCGTGGTTCCCTGGCATCTTAAGTGTCAAAACCATTTGCCATTTCCTAGGGGACTACAGGACTTGTTATAAATCAGGGGAGTTTGAGGGGGGAGCAGAGCTTTGGTAGCGATTTGTTCGTGGAATAGGAGTGCCCTCCTAGAAAATATGACAAAAAGAACGTTAAGCTTCTCCCTCTGGTAACCTACCTTAGGTGTGACCTCCAAAATTCAATTTTCTTTGTGGGAGGCTAGGGAGTTCAGATTCTCCAGGGGGAAGCTTATTTCTTGTTAAATTGAACTACAGTGACATACACTCTGCTCTGACCAGCCATTGCAGATGCCCTGATATTATTAGAGCAATTTCCTTAAAGCCATTACATTTTCTTTGGAATGAGAGGACTTATGGTAGCTGCTTAAAATTTTGAATCTGCACCTTATTTCTCTAGAAGACATTAATGGTTACTGTATATGTGATCATATGTACCAAGTTTGCAAAAGATATTTGTGCAATCGTCCATGAAATGGCTTAATGCACATCTATGTTAAACCCATTTAAATGTAAAACATCTATCTGTTTTCAATTTTAGTTTCCACCTTGTCCAAAGGCACCAGGCTGAAACAGGACAGGTTTTACAGAACTCTAGTCCTCAGAGCGTATAAATAAGCTTTCTGAGCTTGTAGGAGCAGAGGTGGTTAAAAATTGTGGATTGGTTCCTTGGGTTAAAAAATATCAGAAATGCTTCCAAAGTGTAGACACAATTCATGGGTCTATATTTTGAAGTTGCTGACAGTTTGTAAGATGAAATTTGTATCACAGAATACATAAATAGGGCTGATAATAGGCAAATAATGCCAAGTAAAAAAAAACCATACCATATATTGTTCATAATGCACAGTTTACATGGTATGTTGAGGTCTGCTATTAAAGTGTCTGTGAGCAAGTCATATTTTTATCGTGCCCATTTTATAGGGGGAGCAACCGAGGCTCTCAGGGATTGACTTTTCCAAGGTAAATAGCAGAATTCAAGTTTTTTCCAGTTTTTTTCCCTCCTTTGCTTCCTCCCTCACTCCCTTCTTTCCTTCCTTTACGCTGGGCTACGTTTTGGTGTTTTCCTCCTAATATCTGCACTTCTTTTTATTGTTCAACCCTATGGTCTCAGGATCATTATGTCCCATTCCCAAAAGGCTTTGCTCTCTTTAAATATCACTAAGCTCCCACAAAGATGTAGGTTGATTAAGATTTAAGGAGAAAGATAATAATGATTTTAAGGAACTACCCTTTCCAAAGGGGCATACTATTTTTATTAATGAGTTGTTAAATGTACAAGTAATCAAACCACTAAAGAATGGGGTCCTAATGCTAGTGTTTCAGGAAAATCAAGTGACTAGCAGTGGCAGAGATGTTTGAGAAATATTTAAGTTTCCCACTTAAGGAGAAACACCTCATAAACTATAGACAATCACCATGAAGAACAAAAAAATGATTATTTTATTAGTGACATTCTTACTGTAAAAAGAAGTGACAAAACAGATTACTTAAATCCAGAACTACTTACCAAAAGTCTGGAAATCCTCATTAACTAGTATATAAATGCAACAAAAGACATTGGTTAAAGAGAAATCCTGTTTGTACTCGCATAGCTAGAAATGAAGAGCTTACAGATACCTATTTGATTATTTATTAAAAACCTATCATTTGCAAATCTTCTCTTGGAAAACTATTGCTGACAGTGTTTATTTGTGACATTGCATAATATTTATTAAGATGAATAGAATTAATTTTGTTTGCAGTGATGTAGGTAGATGTTTGGGTTCAAGCCTTGGCTTCACATATGCTAATTGTGGAACTTCAGAACTTGACTGAATCTCTCTGTGCTTCACTTTCCTTCTGTGTAAAGCATGAATAATAATGACACCTACCTCATGCAGTTTTTCAGTTTATCTGTGTAGCAATATTTAGTGAGCACCTACTATGTGCCAGCACTGCTGTAAGTGCTAGGGATACATGGACAAAGTCTTTGCCAGTTAAGTTTACAGTCTAGTGCCTGAGAATTAACAAGATGTATATAAAGTGCTTAGCATGGAACATGACACCTAGTGAATGCCCATGACTGTTAGCTGTTGATATACATTTGTTCAGAAGTTCACTGAGTGCCCAGTACATGCAGTGCAGATGGGAGCATATAATGATGAATGATACACATTTCAGCTCAGTTCAATATTCTAATGCATGAGGGGTTCCAAAGAAAGACACCCACTACATAATCAGTTCTCTAAAAGAGAATTCAGTGTAGACATGTGAAAGAAAGAAATGGAAAGAAATACTTTAAAAATCAAGTTACCCATAAGAAAGTGGGAATTTGGGAACTTTATGTTAAAAGTAAAGGTCTTGTATTCAAGCTCTTCGAAACACTAAATACAAAGGAAAAAAATGCCTACTTAGATACATGTAATGAAAAAGGAATATTTGAAGGAATATTACTAAATTGAGCACATAAAGGGAGACAGTTCCCAGGTGCACACTGAAAATGAGATCGCCAAAAATGAATTGGAAAAAAATCCTTGTAACGGATTCCCAAAACAATAATGTAAGACTCTTGAACACTATGAAATGACAATTGTATAAGTACTTGGTTTATATCATACTAAATGTATGCTCAGAGAAAAAGAGAACATTGTATAAATGAATTATTTGCTTATGCTTTTTCTAAGTAATATCCCTAAACCCAGGCTTTTTTCAAGCAAAATAAGCACACTGGAAGTAATAGCACAGGAAATGGCAAGTGCTCAGGCTCTTCCAGACCTAATCAACACACTAGGTACAGATAAGTTACCGAGACCTGATGGCCATCACCCAAGTGTGTTGAAGAAACTTAGTGTGTAAATGACAGCTCTCCAGGGCACTGGCTGGTGTCCTTGGGGAGCTCCTGTCAGGGGGAAGGGTTTTACTGAGGACCCTTGGGCCATCAAACCAGATCTAGATCCTGGTGGACAACTGGGAGATCAGTATTCAAAGCAAACACAGATTTTATCAAATACAATGTATTTTGTAGAAAGAGGGAGTGATGTATTAGAGTTTAAGGAGAAATGCGTTTGTAGCTACAGTGTTGCAGAAAATGTGGTATTTTTAAACTATCAAAATGCCTGACGTGTTTCACATCCCAGTACCTTCCTATTCTTCACCTTTTCCTTTGGCCAAGAAACAAGAAACAGAGTGGAGACAAATAGACACTAATATGAGTGGACAAATAGGCTCTTCCTGGAAGTAGTTTGGGGATGGTTTTATTCAAACTTTTATAAATGATTACAGATGGTATGCCATTCTTTTGGGTAAGTGAAAACCAAGCTGATAGAGTTGAACCATAGGAACAACTTAAAAGACAACCTAAATGGGGAGAAAAATAATAGAAAGTTAAAGTCATAATGGAAGATTGAAGCTAAATGTACTTGGGAAAAGCAATCCCAAGAGCATTGCATTTGTAATGGTTTTAAATTTTATTCCCACCAGTAGTCAACAGCTGGATAATATTCTCTCTCAGCTGTGTAAAAAAACTTGTCCACCAAGTTAAAGTCAATATTAAGAAAAGCATAGGATATGAAACTCTGTTTTAGTGTGATACCAATTTTTAAAAATATGTAGTTGAGTGAACTTATATAAATCTCTACTTATCTCTTCATCTATCTAGAAAAGAAAAGCATCAACGTATTAAAGTGATTGTCCCTTGGGTATGAGGGGGTTGCAAATGTTTTTGTTGTCTTCTTTTACTTCAGTATTTTCCAAGAATACCACTGGTCACCTGTGGCGTCAGTGAGACTGGAAGGTATTGGAATAGGAACCACTGCCTGCAGCATCTGTCCATATAGCACAGCTCAGGTGTGAGGAGATAAGATTCTCAAAGGACAGGGGCAGGAGCCCTCCTGGTATAGAAGCCTCATTCACACAACTCCATAGACAAAACTTCCAGTATCCCATAGGGATGTGCCCAGTTTCCAGAGTCATGTCCCTTAGAGATGCTGCAAGTATGATGTCCCCATCAGGTGATTTAGTTTTCTTTCAGTTTACCAACTGGAGGTCATAATATAACTAGTGACTAGTTACATAACTAGGAACCTGCTTGGTATTTTTATCCTTATCAGGTTGCTACAGAAGAGCTAGACAGATAGTGAAAGTCAGATTCTCATGTGCACAGTTACAAATAGAGTG